ACATTGCTTTTATCATTTATGATCAAAGCACAGTAGCAGTAAGAGCTAAATCATCTAAGCAGTCAGAGAATTACTATCATAAGTTTTAAAATTTATAAAAATATAAAAAAGATTTAGATAAAGACAGACACGTGCTACAAAGTGAAAAGCTATATTTTTCTAAAGAAGAATTGCAAAGAAATACATGGGAATATGTGGATGTATCTTACGAATAAACATTATTTCAGACTAAATTCTTTGCCTAAAGAAAAAGGAGGAGAAGAATAAATCTAAGATTTTTTCAAATTTTGCACTTAGTGAAAGTGTTGGGAAAATATTGACACTTTGGTGGTAAATGTCCTGCCATGACATGCAACTAAAGCATAAACATTAATGAAAACAATTTTACCGTAATAACAAAATTAAGAAAAAAACCACATTTTTATATCTACATGTATAGAACTGCTAAGAAGAAAAAGAAATAAAAAGTTCCAGTGGTTGTTGCTGTCTTGCAATGAGAAAATGACCAAGTAATTATGCCCAGGAGTAGATATATTTCAGATTCAATCAACTCCCAAATATTAGGAGCATAGCATTTTTGGTCTTCCTGTGTTTAACCAAAGAACATTGCTTTATAGTAAAATATAAAAAGACTACAGGGGAAATAGAAAACAGGTACAAATACACAGTACTTCAAATATAAAGCAGTACAAATACAAAGTACAGAATTACCAGACAGTTTTGACTTTTAAGTAATCAAGACTGAGTTGGAGGAACTGAGACAATGAGAGGTAAAATACAAAGGACAGGTTAAAGATAAACTTGAACTAAATTAGGGATGCTAGCAAAAGCACAATAAGCTTCTCTGGGAGGAGGAAAAGGGGCAATTCACTGATGAAGCCTAAAACACTTTGGATTAATATCCAAAAAAGATAAAACACTGTATTTGATTTCTTACAGATAAAGCAGATATTCTAATCAGTGACTAGGATATAACATATTAAACAAGCATTTTTTTTCCAGACCATAAAGGCCACTTGGTTTCCAATAAAATTACTGTGCTTTGCTGACAGCCAATTCTATCTGTGCGCGTGGTCTTTATTATTAATTTCAATTCAATCTAAGGAAATGATCACTTTACCTGAATTATTTTAACATATATAATTTAAAGATAAAAAAGATTACAATGATATATAAATAAGTATATATATATATGCTTCATAGAGATAGATATTTAGGATATCTAAATCTGTAATAGAATTAGAGTATAGTAATCTTGAATTTTTTTTAAAAAAAAGGTCCGCTTGATGCCCCACTGCCAGAGCCATGCAAGATTATCTACTAGCCTTGTTGTTAGATTGCCCAGTTAAGTATTCTCTATTTTCTGGAGCATGTGGCCACATTCTCAGCCACACTGCATCTACAGACTACAATACAGGCCAGAGAGACAGTACAGAATGTAAGGTGTTTTCCTTACACACAGCTGACCTACCTTGGTTTGATCTCTAGCATCCCATATCGTCCTTGAGCACATCCAGGAGTAATTCCTGAGTGCAGAGACAGGAGTAATCCCTGAGCACTGCCAAGTGTGGCCCCAACACAGTAAAAACAACTTCCCCCAAATCCCAAAACTCTACATACATCCCAGTAGTCACATACCAGTTTGAATTGGAATATAAGACAGAAGCCAACAAAACCTGGCTAACAAAATTTATATACATAATTTTACCTTTCAATGACAGCTTAGTAAATAGTCAAGGATTTAAAGTTCCCATAGTGAGATATAATAATGTACATAAATTTTTTTGACAGCAATACATTTTTTATCACTCTGTTCACCATTTATTGGTAACAAGCAATATAAAAGAAATTATTCTGGGCCTGCTCAAGGACAGGCTTGAGTAATGATTAGGAAAATCAAGACAATGGTGGAAGGAAGGTGACAATGGTGGTGCGATTGTTTTTGGAATATTGATTGCCAATAACAAATCTTCATGAACAACTTTGTAAAGTATGTTTTTTAAATAAAGTGGGGGGAAAGTCTTCCTGAAAAGAAATTGCTATAGAAAATAAAAGATGTGCAAGCTGTTTCAAAAAAGGACAACTTATGGTATTATTGGATCACAATATGTTAAGTGTGCATTTATTTTTATTTGAGGTATCATCAGATTAAATCTTTTATCTGAGGGGAATAAAATTGGAAGCAAAGACTAAGGCAGTGATGCAGAGACACGATTTCAGAAATGATGAACTGAGTGTCATGCAAATTTAGTAATTTTTCAGAACAGTGACAAGTAACTTTATAAATACCTATTGATAATGGCATTGTCACTTTTAGAAGATTTTTTATAAAAAAGTAAATGATGTAAATGTGAAGACAATATGTATGCAATGATAAGATTTAACATCCTGTTTCTATAGAGTTGACTTTCAAATACACTAAGTATTGGGGCCAGAGTGATAGTGCAGTGGATAAGCTGCTTGTCCTGTATGGAGCTGTCCAGGATTCGATCACTGGCACTCCATATGGTCCTCCTTGCCCTGCCAGGTGTGATTCATGAGTGCAGAGGCAGGAATAACCCCTAAGTATTACTGGAAGTAGCCCCCAAACAAAAATCAAATAGACAAAATACTATGTTCTTAGTATTTATGACTGAGATAGACCAATTTAACAATATGAATAATCAAGTTTTGTGATTTCCTGTAGAATATAAAGTATGTTTCTTAGAAGACTTTGAAATGGATAATCTAGAAGTTCATTTATCCTTTCAACAGATTGGCCTTCCCAAACTCTCCTAAATCCGCAGTTATTTGATGAGATAAATTTACTTTGAACTAGTCTCTGAGAATTTGCTGTTCAAACATGAAATGACAGCTTATTGAGCAATCTACTTTTCCACTACTTCACTCTGAGTTTTTGAAGGGCAATCTGTGAAGACCACAGACACTGTTTATTCTTACTCATAATTTTAAGGTTCAAAGTTTTTCATTTACTACCCAACTATAGAAGACATATTTTAGGATCATAGCCTGGCCTCCTAACTAAAGGATAGCAAGTGCCTGGCTATTGAAGATACATACTCCTTTTTCTCCTGTCTTTCCATTTTGGCTTTATTCACTAGGAAATAAAAAGTGATATTTGTTTAGCAATGGCTTTCCAATATAGTAATAACAAATCAAAGTAGGGAACTGGTGATTTTTATTTGGATAATTTTTGTTACAATGTATCCATAAAATATGAAATATCTTGGAAGATTTCTTGAAGTTTTGAAATTATCAGATATCAGAAATTAGTCAAGAATGCACACTCATATATTTGAGTTTGTAAATCAATAAAATTCAAATCATAATATTTAAAATTTACAAACATCGTGAAAATGGTCATTACTTTAGGGTTTTATATTCAATACAATGTGATTTTTCCTATGATCTTCTTTTACATTTTAAACAACCTTTATTGATTGATCAGTAAAATAAATATATTTGTGTGATAAAAGCTTAAGAGAATCCCTTATCACATAGATTAACTAAAATCTGCTGATTAAAATAAATAGTATGTGCATGCCTCTAAAAATATTAAACTTTACTAAAATCAAAATCTTTTTTAAAAGTTGAAGAAACATTACAGAATAGATGTACTCTAATGATAAGAGTGACACCTACATAATGAATTATCTTAGACGATCTAAACAGCATGAATCAGAACCATAACATAGTAATTGTAGCTAAAATAAAAATCAAGATGAATTGTATATTGAGCTTTCACAGGAGCTAGTTACTGGGGTGCTAAGTGCTAGCACTTTGTATCTTATGTATTCTTGTTTCCATTTCCATTAGTAAACTAGGTCACTAGATGCTCAGTGACTCTTTAAAGGTCAGTCACACATTGTAAGCTTCACAGTCAGAATGAATTTGGTGTGCTCTGATCTGTTGATGGAAACTAAATTACCTTATGTGAATTATTTAAATCACTTAGGGAGCTGAAATGAACTTCACTGATCATAGGATATTTCTGGAAATTGGCACCCACAATGTTTTTTGTAAGCCACACTTTCATTTGTTGAACTCATTTATCTAAAGTAAGTACATTTGTGGTTTCTTTTTTATTGTTTTATATTTTGAATAAAATTTACTATGTTATGTAATATTTTACAACATAGCGTTGTTTATTTTTTTCCTTAAAATCTTCAACATTATAAATGAAAGAACACTTGAAAATTCCTTTTGTGTGTACCTCATTCATTTTAAACAATTATTATTTGCTATAGTTGATAACCACCCATAATAAGATGAATATTGATAAATAGCAAGTTCAGGTTTAGAATTTTTGAGACAGTGTTACCTGATGTTGTATATTTTGTCAACTTAAGATCTTTTTTCCAGTTCTCTGTACTCTCATACATTTAGAAGTTGTTGCCTACTCTTATTAATAATTTGTTAATAAATTACTTTTAGGATGCTAAATATGTAAATAATTAAAATGTAATGTGCATAATGCAATAAATGAAATGTATGCCATTTTGCTACTTCAGCATCAAGCTGTTCAACAATTACTTTGTTATCATATTTTAAAGATTATAAAGTGTCTTTACTGATTATTACACTTCAAGATACTGGTAATCATCACTGACTTTTTAAATGACAGTTTTATTTTTAACACAAGTATTCTTGTGTTATTAAAACATTACTATGTAATCTGACTTTAAATAAATAGGCTTATTACTGTCAGAATCTTGATTCCTCACAGATTTTAAATCTGTATTGTTTCAGTAATAAAATATTGTCAGTTGTAAATATTTTAATAAATAAAGTTTTAATTTAATTTTATTTTTTTTGCTATGAGACTGTCATTTAAGGACCCAAGAATTTAAAATAACTGCAGATTCTTCAACTGCAGAATGAACTCTACTATGCACCCTCACCCCGCCCAGTTCCTGTTCCACCTCCTTGCCATTAAGTACTATTTTTCTTCAAACCTATTTACCTTAGAGCGCAGTCCCTGGGATTACTTAGCTGCAGAGATGAGTAATGAAAAAACAACGTATGCAGAGCTAAATTTGACTAAAAAGTCAAAAAGGCGACAAAAAAACCCTAAAGGTACTAAAGGCTTCACTTCAGAAACAGAGCAAGAAATATGCTATGCAGAATTAAATCTTCGAAATGCTACTCAGTCTCTGCAGGGAAATGACAAGGACTACTGCTGCAAAGGTAAACTGTTATACAGACAGAAGATACCACAGTTCTAGAGTGGGCAGTTGGGTTGCAGAGTTGTGGGAAAGAGAAGGGAGCAAAGTCAATATTTTTTATTTCTGAGAATCAGAGACCTAATTTGGAATATGATATTCTTATATGAGTTCTGAACTAATTTTGCTTAGGCATTGTTGAACAAATCATAGAGCTTATACTTGCTAAAAATGCAATGTAGAGATCTGGGAGAGAGATTGCAATGGACCTAGAGTCCAAAATGGTAATAGAATCACACTTCTAAATACTTCTTTACATCTTTCCTTTCTCAGTGTTTTCATTTCACTCCCCATAGGATTATTGTCACCTCCAGAGAAGCTCATTGCTGGGGTCCTGGGAATCATTTGCTTTGTCTTGCTGTGCATTGTGTTACAAAGGATTATTACTCATTGTAAGTAAATTTTTGAAAACTTAAAAAGGAAAATTTATTGTTGATTTCGCTCTCACTAAAGATTTTATAATATTACAAAACAGATCTCACATTTACATGCAAGTTTATATAGTGTAGTATGGATTGCTTAATTTGAATTTATAATAAAAATATGATTTAGGATATTAAAATACCTTATTGGGAAATGTAATTTTTTTAACTTTGTTTAACCAAATACAGAGGGAGATGTAACTTCATTTCTTTAAGCTTTTAAAATATTTTCCACTCAAACTAATTTCTTTTATTGCTTTTCTTAGTAAAATTAATTTTCTTAGATGGATTCACCTGTGATATTTCTCTTACTTTTACTTCAAAGTACTCTGTTCTGGTATTGCCGAGAATTCGTGATTCCATTTTGTCTTTACTCTTTTTGGGTTTGCTTTATTTCTCTTCTCTCTGCTTCTTTCTTTCCTTCTTTCTGCTATTGTCTCTCTGTCTATATTCTTAGAATTAGAACCCTTCCTCAATAATACAATTTTAATTTTCCCACAACTTTATTGCATATTATTCTAATCTTTAACAATACAAAAATTGTCAACGAAGAAACTAATGTTATTGCGATATATTTGAATCAATTTATATTTATAGTTTTTCCTTAATTTTCTTATAGCTACCCAGAATCTAAGGCAAAATAACTCTTCCATAATTAATGAAACAAGGATCCAGAAAGGTAAATACAGATTTTCACAGTTTTAATAGAACATTTTATAGTTTGTATGTCTTGGACTAAATAGAAATGCTAACCAATTTAAGAGAAAACATAGTTAAAAAAAATCAGGAAATAAAAGTTCATTAAAAAGTAGTTGATGTACCTCATGGTCTCTCACTAATAAAAAACAAAGCAACAAAAAAAGAGCAGTGACTTTTTACAATAGCTAGAATCTGGAAAAAACCTGAGTGCCCGAAAACAGATGTCTGGTTAAAGAAACCTTGGTACATCTACACAATGGAGTACTATGTAACTGCTAGAAAAGATGAATCCATAGAATTTACATACAAGTGGTACTACGTGGGAAGTATCATGCTAAGCAAAATGAATCAGAAAGAGAGGGACAAACATAGAAAGATTGCATTAATCTGGGGAACATAAAGCAACAAAATAGGAGACTAACACCCAAGAATTGCCGAAATTAGTGCCAGGAATATTGCTCCATGGCTTGGAGGCCAGCTATACATGTTAGGGGAAAAGGCAGCTCATATAGAGAAGGGAGCACCAAAAAAAGAGTGTTGGGAGGATCCTCCCAGGATGGGAGAAGCATGCTGAAAGTAGACTATAGACCGAACATGATTGCCACTCAATGCCTCTTTTGCAGACCACAACACCCAAAAGGAGAGAGAGAACAAAAGGAAATGCCCTGCCACAGAGGCAGGGTGGGATGGGGGGATGGGGAGTGGGAGGGATACTGGGATCAGAGGTGGTGGAGAATGGGCACTGGTGGAGGAATGGGTATTCGACCATTGTATAACTGAAACCCAACCACAAAAATTTGTAAGTCTACATCTGTACCTCATGGTGTTTCACTAATAAAAATTTTAAAAAAGTAGTTGGTATGTAACAACATATAAAGAATAATTCATTATAATTTTTTTTACAAATTTTAGTTCAAATATCTTACAGCTAAAAGTGATGGTGAAATAAATTACTCAACCTTGGAAATTGTTAATTTGTGGCTAATGTATAATTATAGAGTGGGAATTTTTAGTGGAGCATTTGCCTTATATCGACATGTAAATTAAGGGATGAGAAACTGACCCATACTGGGAGTGTTTGCATAAGCCTTGTACCTTGTATGTATCACATCCTGACAGTGCACAATATGTAATATACATTCATGTTTTTACCTATGCACATGTGGCAGTTCCATTGGATGTTCATAACTAAACTTTTCTATTAATAGCTCAAGATAACTCTCTGGTGTCTCATTGTGCTCATTGTCCTCCTGAGGGATTTACATATTCCAACAATTGCTATTATACAACGAATGAAAAAATGACATGGAATGAGAGTGTGATGGCCTGTGCTTCTCACCAGTCTAGCCTTCTTTATATAGAGAGCGAAGAAGAAATGGTAAGAATTTAATGTTTCGACCACTTTACAAAAGACATTTCAGTTAATGCTTATTCATTCTTGCATATTTTATTGTATATTTTATACACTCCACAGATTGACTTTTAATATTTCAGTCATGCAGTTTTCTTTCATATCATAATGCATGTTTATTATTCTTACTTTTTTCTAGAAAGACATGTTTTTCACAAATGCTTTTAATCCTTTCTTCTGCTTAAAGCTAATTAATGATTATAATATTTCTCATATTACAGTTATTCATAGTCATATAAGTGGACTTAATTAGTTTTAAATAAATCAAGTGTTATTGTATGCCTCTTAAGTGCAATAAGAAATTAGCACTTTTTCAGTCTGCCAGTGACATAAAAAAAACTCCATGTTTCAAAGAAGGTAGTTGTGTCACTCCCTCTGTTATCATCAAAAAGTCAAATAAGAATCTTGGATAGTGAAAGCAAAGTATGAACAAGATCATATACTTATAAACATTGTAGAAAATAGATTTTATAAAATGAATAAAAATTTAAAAAACACCAAGTAGGTAGAACATAGAATTCTTTTTCCACCTGATTTCACATTTTCTTCCATCCCCACCTTCTCAGACAACCATTGGTTTCTCATCATTACCTAATACTTTGTCTTTTCATTGTGCTTTCTCTGTGCATTATTTTCTTCCTAATTTGGGCATATGTAAAATATTCTATTTGTCTTTTTCCTTCAGACATTTCATATGCATAGGTAAAGGTAAAGGTAAAGGCCCTCCCGTTGATCGTCGATTTGCTCGAGCGGGCCCAGTAACGTCTCCATTGGAGACTTTGTTGTTACTGTGTCTGGCATATCGAATACTCTCGGTAGCTTGCCGGGCTCTCCGAGAGGGGCGGAGGAATCGAACTCGGGTCGGCCATGTTGGCCGCTTGTAAGGCGAACGCCCTACCACTGTGCTATGGAATTCATTTTATTTTGTTTGTAAATATTAAAGTTCCATTTTTTAATAGCTACGCTGCATGCGATTGGATAAGTGTATCACATCTACTTTATCTGGTCATGTTTGTGGTACACTTTGCTTCAGTTGCTCATTTTTGCATTGAAGGTGTCAGCCTGGAGCCTCTGGGCACTGGATAGTCCTTGGTCCCACAGAACCTAATACACTCAGACTTTCCCCATGCTCTGGCCAATCTATTTGGCTGAGGATATTGGGAGGGGCCTTTGGAGTTCCTGAACACATTTTGGGATTGCCCCACCAAAAATAAACACAAAATAAAACATTTTTATTACGACAATATTGATTTATATGATTTTATACTTGACTTAGAAATGAAAATTTATAGGATGTTATAATATGACTTATTCCAAAAGTTAATACACATTTGGAATACAGTATTATCATACCACACCCATCACAACCAGGCCAATACATGTCCAGAACAATCCATTAGAACATTTTCAGCAACTCCTAACGTGATCTAAATTTTCATTTTTCTTCTCTAGAAAGAATTTCTGTTCTTATATAATTATATATATAGATCTCTAATTTTCTTGTTTACTGTTAGCAACAGTTGCTTCAGTGTTGGGATGTTAAATGAATTTACCTATTGTATATATATTTTTTGAAAAAATATCCAAATTTTCCAAAAATAAAAACCAAATACATGCCCATATTAAATTTGCTGCTACAACTCTAATAAAGATTATTCAAAGTGTTTACTGATATGCAAATGTGCACAGACATATTCATTTAATTGTGTTAGTATTTAACGTGTTTTTCAAAAAAAAATCTCGCTTTTAATCACTGAATTTTTATTAGCTATGTCTATAATATGTGTTTTTACTATTTCTAGGTAACACTGTAGCATTGTCCTCTCGTTCATCAATATGCTCGAGTGGTATCAGTAATGTCTCCATTGTAAGACTTGTTACTGTTTTTGGCATATCTATAAATATTCTATTTTATCATATATAATGATGTTGGAGGTTAAGTCCATGACTTAGTATTTATGAAACAATGGTCTTAGAACTGAGCTATATCCCTGATGGTATCATTTTCTAAAAAATAACAAGTTGGTAATGATCTTGTCAAATGCATTCACAGCATTTTAGATAGCAATATACAATCTTTGTGTTTTTGATTATTGATAGAACTCATAAGGAAGAGTAAAAAATCTAATGTACATTATAAATGATAGGATAATTACAGTAATTCTCAGAACTAGAGATGATCACAGAGGCACTTTGAACAATTACATGGCCAAAAACTTGTGTAGGTTGAACCTCCCTTGAGTTTCTGGAAGAAACTTTCTTGACAATGATATATGATCTTTCAAAAACACTGTTTAATCTAAAAGATGGTATTTTGTTGAGAACATTTACACCTCTATATATCAGATACTGCTTTTTGCATGATAGACTAGTCTTTTACTTTACATTATCAGGGCAATGATGATCTTATAAAGTTATTTGGAATCATTCTTTTCTTCTTTGTTTGATCAATTTATCAATCTATTTCTTTTCAGTTTGAAAAATGGTGTGGGGGAGTGGCATATGTTAATTTTTGAAGATTTAAGCATTTGGTAAAATTTAACTAGTCAGAATTAGAATTTATAAAGGAGAGTGACTTCCTTGAGTCACCTCTTATGTAGCTTGGAGTTGGGAGGTGGCAAGTCTAGGTCCTCTCCTGTCATCTTCTGTTGGGTGGTGGAGATCAGACACCTTGTCCTGTGTTGTTCCATAACTCTGCAGGCAATGTTTTGTCTTTCTCTTTAAGGATCTTGTAACTTTTACATCAGAATTTTAACTAATAATGTTAGTAGCAGGGTCTGACAAAGAGAAATAGGTCTATGACATCTTGTACAGCTTGCTGAGCTCCAGTAAAGAGGGATTGTTCTTTTCTTTATCTTGCAAAGAATGGGAGCACTTAGTTTAGAGATAGTACAGCAATTGATTTAGAGATCAGGCTAAGGTATGGCCTTACGGTCTTACAGGAAACCATCCGTGGTTTGACCCCTGGGACCACATATGTCCCCCAAGTACCTTGAGGAGTGATCTCTAAGCACAGCTGGGTGTAGTCCAAAAACAAGGAAAGAAAAGAATAGGATCAAGGAAGAAATTTGTGTTCTGGGAATCCAGTTATTATTTATTTTCTCACTGCCAATCCTTTATGAAATCTTATATTAGTTTCTTTATAATATCAAACTACAAGTAAAACTATAAAACTTAAAGTGAATTTGTGTCAGTATCTGGAGAAATGACTGTCACTGTCACAATCCTCCCGTTTTTCATCAATTTGCTCAAGTGGGCACCAGTAACATCTCTATTGTGAGACTTGCTACTTGTTTTTGGCATATTGAATACATCATGGGGAGCTTTCCAGGCTTTGCTTTATGGGCGAGATACTCTCAGTAGCTTGTCTGGCTCTCCAAGTCGGCCTCATGCAAGCAAATACCCTACCTGCTGTACTAGCTCGGCAGTCCAATGTCACAGTATCTGGAAATATAATATATAATGTGTTCTATCAGCATAGATATACTATATGCACCTCATTTTCCTTACCCAGACCTAATTTTAAATACTTAAGAGTTTAAATTAAAGGCAAAAATTGAAAAAATTTTGGGCAATATGAAGAGAATTCATATTTTTATATCTGTCAAATACAATATAACACTGTCTTTTCATTTTTAAATTAGGAATATTTTAAAAAACAACTTCTTGCATCTTTTACAAAATTTCTCATCATTGACATTATATCTTTACAAATAGAAAGTCCTGGCCTCCATATTACCTCCGACTTGGGTTGGAATATTTCGTAACAATAGACAACAGCCATGGATGTCAATAAACGGTTCAACTTCCAAACTAATGTAAGTGTTTTGTTTGTTTTAACTATTTTAACTGTATAGAGAAAATGTAAGATTTCATAATAATCTTCATTTTTTAAATTATAGCATAAAGAAAATATTGTTTCTTAATAATTTTTATATAAATATTAAAGTATGAAGTGGTACCAAAATTTTTTAAAATAACCTGTTTTCCACTTTCATTACATTAGTTTATTCCTTTTACGCAGAAAATGCTACCGTTTAGTCTGTTGCCCTCTAAAAAATGACAACATATTTATGCATTTTTTCCATTATAGGATTAAAGAAAATTCAGCTGAAGAACGTAACTGTGCTTCGTTATTCTTATCTAGACTCAATGCACAGTTTTGCAATTCTCCAAATTCATATTGTTGCAAGCATAAACTTCAGAATTAGTACAGCTGTATATGGATTCTATTAAATAAGGTGATAATCTTAAAGAGAATGGCAGAATGTCTAGATATTCTTATGATGGATCATTTCGCATCTAATAATGAACTTACCTGATAGAATTAAAGTATACAAACAATAAAGTTTTTGTAATTGCCGTAAAGTTTTTATTCGTGCCTTTTCTATTTTAGTGAAATTATTTCTATATTTTAACCCAAGTATGAGGATTATTTTAATTTTTGCTATATTTTCTTGTATTAAAATAATTCCATAATATTCTCATTTTATACTAGATTTTATAAACAGTGGTAGTAATTTTTATTGTTAGAAAAATTTATGTAAATCTAAGAATATCCTGCATTTCTGTTGAACATGACTTGTGTGATTGAGTAACCAATCTTAACTCTTTAAATTTTATTTTATTTTTGGTTTGGGGCCAAACCTGGTGGTCCTCAGGACTTTCTCTTGGCCTTGCACTCAGGAATCATCCTGGCAGTGCTCAATCGATCACACAAATTAGGCAAGCGCCCTACCTGCTATACTATGGCTCTGACCCCCTTCACTTTAAGTTTTATTTAATTAGCTTAAAATGAAATTTATATACCTGCACTTCAGATGGTTGATCTTGGTTAGTGTCTGCTGGAGTTATACCACAGATCTGTAATGTTATAGTGATATTCTACGAACTATGAATTTATACTAAATATAAAATGTTTGTGAACATACAAGATTATTTTACTTGTGTATATATGTATAGAATTGTTACTATAATACCACATTATGATTTTTTGTATTGTATCTGTATATACAGCACATATTTGTAAGTAATACTCTGATAGATCAGCTTCTTTTATAAGCAGTAAAAATTGTTTAATTCTCTATTTCTGATAATTTTACTCATTACTTTTGCAAATCTGTTATTTGATTATGTTAATAAGTCTCTCATGAACCATTGAAAATAAATTGCACACTGTACTGAGTAGCACAATGTCTTAAATATCATCTATTTTAATTTACTACTGTTACTATTTTATCTTTAAATTTTAATACATATATTTTAATATTTCAATTTATATTGTTTATTTACTCACTCATTATTCATGCAGTTGCATTTTTGACATTGCATTCAGTTTTATATAATGAGCTTTTTACATGAAATAAGTTCTTCATTTTTTTTATTGAATCACCATGAGATACAGTTACAAAGCTTTCATGTTTGAGTTTCAGTCAAACAGTTATCAAATACCCATCCCTTCACCAGTGCACATTTTCCACCATCAAAATCCCCAGTATACCTCTGCATCCTAATCCTTCCCCTGCCTGTGCGACAGACAATTTCCACAATACTCTATCTACTTTGATTACATTCAATATTTTGACACCAGTCCTACCATTATTATTTGGAATTTCCCCACCCACTACCACTCCAGGATTACTGCAACATATTTGATAGGGTTCAAATAAGGTTTGAACCGTGGGAACACTTACAAGGGCGATTAGAGGCCGCCCGAAAAGCATCTATCCCTCTGGGAGAGTCTGGTAAGCTACCGAGAGTATTCTGCCCTCACGGCAGTGCCTGGCAAGCTATCCGTGGTGTATTCGATATGCCAAAACCAGTAATTACAATGGGTCTCATTCCCCTCACCATGAAGGAGTCACCAGTACAGCAGCGTTGAGAAGGATAAGGAAGGAGAGGCTGATAAAATCTCAAGGCTGAACTACGCTGCAAAATGAAGAAAGACAAAAATGATTGTACTTTCAGTGCACGTATGCTGGCATCAGATTCATCCATCGAGGACCTGATGGTACAAGGGCAGAAGATTAAGTACGACATCATTGGTCTGACCGAGACAAGAAGGCATCAATCACATCACACCATTTTCGACACTGGAGAAGAACTGTTTCTCAGAACATGTGACAAAAGAGGCGGCGGAGGTATTGGTGTTCTTGTCAACACGAACTTGGCCATGAACATCGATTCATTTGAATTCCTAACAACACAAATCGGACGATTACACTTGAATAAATGAGGCTCACTACCAGCAGTTTCTATCTTTGTTGTCTACACACCAACATCCAATTATGATGAAAGAGAAATCGAGAAGTTCTACATGGAGCTGGAGAAGTTCTATTAAGGAGACCACACCTTCTATAAGATCATTGTTGGTGATTTTAATGCCAAGATAGGACCGAGAAGATCAGCCGAAGAACTCCACATTGGGACACATGGCCTAGAGTGGAACGGACAGGGTGAGAGATTGTCTGAGTTCATCATGTCGACCAAGACCATCCATGGTAACTCACAGTTCCAGAAGGCCAAATCTGAATGTTCGACATAGGAGTCTCCCAGTGGACGGTTCCACAACAAAATTGACCACATCATATTCAATCGACGGTTTTGCCTGACTAATGTCGCTGTTGTCCCAAAATTCCAAATGGGATTGGACCACCATCTACTTCATGCAAAATTCTACTTCACAGAGTGGGGAGAAGAGGTTGCAAAGTTTAAGAAGAGAACTCCCAGAACAACCACCAACTGGGAGCTCTTTGCCACTATTCCTGTAACATGGGAAGATGCTGTGGTTAACAACATTGACAAGGAATATGACCAACTGGTTCAGCACCTCCATGATTGTGTGAGGAATGCCAAGAGAGAGATAGTTACAAAAAAACACTTGTCTTCGAAAACTCTTGAGCTTATTCTCCAACATGGCTTGGAGCATGCCTCAGGCAACCACAAGCAAATGTCCGAGCTCACAAAGCAGTGCAGAGACTCAATAAAGGAAGTCCTCAAAGAGAGAAGAGCAGCAGTGCTGGTAGAAGGGGCAAAAATCAGGAAAAACATTCGTAATGCCCGCCTGTCCTTCGCCAACTAGAAGACCAAGATGACTATCATCTACAAGCTGTTCACTTGAGTCATCCTGAATAGGATTGGCAGAACACTAGATGAAGGACAACCATGTGAGCAAGCTGGGTTCTGCAAAGGATTCAGCAAGATTGACCATATCCACACAATAACCAAGCTCATTGAGGTTTCTCAGGAGTTCAAGATGCCACTCTGTCTACCGTTTATTGATTTAAAGACCTTTGATTCTGTTGAGACAGAAGGGGTCATCGAAGCCCTAGCCAATCAAGGCATTCATACTCAATACATTAGGATCCCCGTGAGCTGTATTCACTACCAGGATCTCACCACCAGGATCTCACCATTCTACAAAGAAGTGATCATCCATGTCAAGAGAGGGGTTCGGCAGGGTGAAACCATTTCACCAAAATTTTCAGTGCCACCCTCGAGAACATCATGCAACGACTAGAATGGGAGGGAATGGGAGTGAACTTAGATGTCCAACTACACCATCTCCTCTTTGCTGATGACATTGTTCTAACAACACCAAACGTTAGCCAAGCAGCACAAATGCTGGCCAACTTTGACCATGAGTGTGGAAATGTCAGACTAAAGCTGAATCTCATGAAGACAATGTTCATGAGAAACAGTCTTGTTCCTAATGTTCCATTCACTCTCAATGGAATGACCATCTCCGAATCAACAGTTATGTGTATGTAGGTTGAGAAGTCAACATGACGAATGACCTGGCACCTGAGTTGCACAGAAGGAAGAGAGCTTCTTGGAACGCCTTAAAGAGCATCAAAGAAATAGCTAAGAGGACGAAGAACCTCTGGCTCTGGGCACATCTCTTCAATTTCACTGTTCTTCCTGCATGAACATACGCATCAGAGACCTACCTGGACCCTATGAAAACAGAATAAGAACACTGTTCGGGTCTCCCAAAGAGGAATTGAAAGAGCTATACTTGGAGCATCATGTTTCATTCAAATGAGAGAAAGAAATCGCAGTTGAGAATCAGGGATGCTGTCTTATTTGCCAAGGAGTCGAAAATCAGACAGGCTGGACACGTAATGAGATTTGGAGACGACCACTGGACTAGAGCTGTTACCGACTGGATTCCACAGGACATCAAAAGACCGCGTGGCCTCCCACCTACAAGATGGTCAGACTGCTTCATCAAGACCCTGAATGATCCGTTTGAGGCTCTTAGTATTCCTAGATTGACCAGTTGCCATTGGGCTACACTAGCACGCCACAGGGATGGATGGAGACATTACTGGAACCTGCTGGAACAAACTGATGATTAACGGGAAGTCAAGTGATCAAGTGATCAAGTGACCACCACTCAAAAGTCCTGAAAAGGCATCTGACCACATATTCAAAATACAGTTAATCATGGTATCACGGTCATCCTGTTATTCATCAATTTCCTCGAGCAGGCACTAGAAATGTCTCCTTTGTCCTAGCCCTGAGATTTTAGAAAATGCCATATTCAAGGATCTTTCAGGGTCAGGAGAATGAGACCCATTATTGTTATTGGTTTTTGGCATATTGAGTATACCACGGGGAGTTTGTCAGACTCTGACCTGCGGGCAGGATACTTTTGATAGCCTGTCGGGTTCTCCAGAGTAAGAATTAGATAATAAGATTTTCTGGGAGCTGGGTTTTATAGACTCTGGATCTTGGTCATTGATGGAATTACCTGGCACTGGGGGCAGTTGGTGGGTGTGATGCCTACCTACTGGAAGATGGGGGATCTGGGTGGAGGAGGCCCAGTCCCAATCCAAGCAGGCTTGGAGATCTCATCCCTGGGACCCGCATGCTTGGGTTCTTCTGACGATTCTTTTATGCATGAGGCTTGTCCGAACATGTGGAGAGTGGTCTCAGCATGGCTGTGGCTGGTTCTGGAGGTTTTTGGCTGCTGGGACTCTGCTTGGGCTGGGAAGAGAAACTGAACCCGCCCCCCTCCAAGGGGCCCCAACGAGGACAGTTAGGAGCAGGGGAGGGAGACTCTGCCCTCAAAAGGCAAAGCTAGACAATTTTTATGTATTTCTTATTATGAATTG